CAGATATATATATATATATGTATATATGTGTGTGTAACATATTTGTGTATGTATAAATGTAATAATATTGATTGAACATAGTTACAAAATTATTTAAAACACCTTAACATTCCATTTTGTATTCATATTCATGTACCATGGCATTTACATTGTTTATGTCCTTAAAAAAAACATTATTTCAATGGTATATGTCCATAACGATATTATCCTAGTACACATTCATAATAATGGCATTGTGATTTGTAATCTAAGTGCTATCGATCCAGAAGTGTGTTTATATCTCGAGAGCACTGATCCGAGTCTGTCGTGTGCTCCGTGTTTAGCTTCAGGGACCGGCGGCACCAGGATTTCGTACGCGGCGTGTGTTGGGCCCCGTGCGGCTCGGCCGTGTTGACCACCGTGGGCTGGGGCCATCAGGTGCTCCACCACAGCGTGTCTGCGCCCTAGAGCATCATGGGAAACCACACCAACCTCCAGCTCATCCCCATTTCTGTTGTTCCGTCACCATCAAATAATGATTCATGAGTTTAATGCATAATCATAGGAGGATAAAAATAATGCAGAAAATTTGTTTTTTAATAACAGAAATGGGTATGAATGACATATTTCTCACATTTCCAAGATTCACTGTTCAATAAAGTTTCCGTCATCTGTATATTTATGCTCTCGCATATCTTTATTAGACGGTATTGCGGTTATATTCTTACTCTCAGGGGTAACAAAAGGTTAAATGTCCAAAAATAACAATTTAACATGAACAGTCATACAAACAAGTTTGCGGATTAATGAAGCACAATTATTGACCTATTGCATATATCACACAATTAAACCTGTTCGTAGCAGATGCTAGCTTATTTCTTCAAATACACTTTTAACCAGTATATTCATGCAAATACAAAGTTTGCATTATTTATTTTTTTGATTAAGAAAACGGCTATGAAAAGCAGCAAAAGCATTTTTCTTCATTAAGAAGAACCATCAGTAATGTGTTCAAGGCTTCGCAACCATTTGATCAAATTTTAAGGCATACTTTTTATAAGTTCGTAAAAATGTTTTGACCTGGAAAAAAATCCAGCACCACTGAAAGAAGCTCTCATATCGAGAGCTATAGAGTCATTTTGTACATTAATGATTAAAGGCATTAAAAAATATTGTGCAGAAGTTACAATTAAGAACTGATGTTCTTAAACAACTGATTAGAAACTGGATTAAACTAATGAATTAAATGAAAAGGTTTGACATTAAAACAAGTTTCTGTGTATAGCGTATACAGGCACAGTTGCTCCATTGTTCGATTTTAGCAGCAAGAGTTCGGCACAACCTGAATATACTGACAGCTGAAGAAACGTCCAGGTAGAAAGTTACAGTAATACTTTACAGACCGGGTGCAAAACGTTAAATATCTGTCAGGTAGGTACATATGTACAGGTAAGGCACGTCTCTGGAATAATGGATCAGGACGAACCGTCTTTGATAACGGGTGTTATTGGTTGTTTGGCTCCTGGTCTCACGGTGAACGTCATTCCAAACTGCTGTTTGGTTGATGATCCGTTACTGAAAGATAAAGAAGAGCCCCATTATTCTTAAGTAAACACGTTTTCAAAGTTATAAAAGCATGAAGTATTAGAACTAGCTTTTGATTCCACTTTAACCAGTAATAACTCAATATTACATCAGATTTTTGGGGGCATCGGCTGGATTGAAATGCGGCTAGTACATGTTGGTTTGTTTAAGCATCCGAATAAATCAACTTAAACAGTTTCATATGCATTGTAGATCATAAATGTCATGGAAACAACTGTTGAGTGTTGTTCCAGTATCAGAGGCAGTTTATTTATCTTCCTGGTGATTCATCTCGGCTATGAGGGAGGCGTTGACTGTGATGACTAAATGATTGTATGCGTTATTCAAAAGAAAGCTATGTAATGTTTCTGTACATAATCTGAATGTCATTAAGTCTCCAATGGAATTCTGTTTCCGCCTCAAAGTAAAAAAGTAATTGCTACTTTATTTCTTGTAATAGCAACTAAATGTCTCCCAATTGTGACTTTATACCTCACAATGTGAATCTTTTCTTTTTCCCCATGTATAAAGTCCTGTCTGACATTTTCAGTCATGTTTCACTCGAAAAATACACATTACAGAAGTGAAACGGATTGTGAATACAGTTTCATGTTGACTTTGACTTTGTTACTTGTATTTACTTTTAGCTTACCTGTTCTGGGATTTAGTCGAAGTGGCCAAATTTTGAGCTTTTTTGGCCGCTTTGCTTTCCAGCTCCTTCATGTCCACTCCACGAGTTTGCGCCGGCAAGGTGGCACTGCGGTTTGTCATAGGATTGTATGTGGTAAGGGGCGACGTGGCCTCGTCATCAGACAGTGGATAGTTCCAGTCATCTCCGTTGGTCTCCACCTCTTTGACAGCCGAGAACTTGGGGTCCATCTCTAGCATCTTCTTCTGCAGGATACTGAGAAGTGTCGCTTGGCTAGCGGAGACGGATGGCGGCACTTGTGCAATGGGTTGAGTGGGTTTAGTTTGAACAGGTGGTTTGGATTGGGGCTGGATATTTGGGGGAGGTCCTGGGGCCTTGGGAGGACAGCTGGGTGGTTTAGGTTTGGGGGAAATGAGGGGGCCATTGGTGGAAGGAGGAGGTGTTGGAGGTAGGGAGGGTTTGGCAGGTGTTGGAGCAGGAGCAGGGTGGCTTGGCAGAGAGCCATTGGTGATTGGAATAGGTAAGGGTTTAGAAGGTAGAGGGGCAGGTTTTACAGGGGTAGCAGGAGCCGGGTGACTTGGTGGGGGGGAGTTGGTGATTGGAGCAGGTGTAGCAGGTAAGAGGGTTTTAGCAGGTGGAGGGGCACTTTTCACAGGTGGAGCAGGAGCGGGGTGACTTGGTGGGGGAACTGGAGGTTCCTCCTCAGAGTCCGAGTTGGCAAATTCAGGAGGTGGTGGAATGAAGACCAAGTCTTCTCCAATTTCCACATCTCTAACAGGGACACCCAGACCACTAACAGAGCTGTTCATTGGGCTTCGTAGAGGGGTTGAGCTTAGCTCTGGCTTTGAGTAGGACACATGTGGACCGTCGACTTTGGTTGATAGAGAGGCGAGTGGTTGCGTGTTTGTGGTCAACTTTAATTGTGCATTGGGACTGTCTGGTGTTGGGTCTCGAGGAGTGACAGTGAAGGAGTTTGGTTTTTCTACACTAGGTTGGATCACAGAATTGACTGGATCTCTTGAGTTGCTGTTCTGTTGGGACAGAGCAGTTCTCTGCTTTTCTCTTTCCTTTGCAGCCATCAGCAAGGCGAAAGGTGAAGTTGAGGTCTCTTTCTTTACTGAGCCGTCTGCGCCCCGCGTGTTGAGATGTCGGTGGTTCAAGATAGGGCTGTACTTGCGAGGCCTGCCAGGGGACGCAACTGGGGTCACCACCTGCCTAACATCAGGTATCCTTTTCTCTATTTTGGGTGAGACTTTGATTGGTGCTGGTATCTCAGTGGGGATGTTTTGTGGTGTTACAGGCTCAGGATTGATTTTGGGCTCTACCTTGGCTTGTTCTCTTGGAGCTTGTGCCATGTCTGGCTGGTCATCCTGTAGATGAGTGGCGGAGCTGTTCCGACGGGCTGGTTTGGTTGGTAGCACCCCTGGTTGGAAAGATTCAGCATTTTTCCCACTATTCCCATTGACAACACCAACCGTGTTTCCAGCAGAATCTTCCAGCAGCAGAATGGACTGGACTTTTTTTTCCCTATCTGTCTGTCCACCAAGTAGTGTGCTCTTCTGCACGCTGTAGAGTTTTGCTGTGTTCTGGGGGTTGAAGCTAGATGGTGTTGGGTTGGAAGCAACGGGTGGCACAGGAGTTTGGGACTGGATGTCTAGATTGGGTATGGAGGACATTCGAATGGGTTTGGGAGGTGCTGCTTTCTGAGCTTTTGCAAGAACAGGGGGTGGCGGTGGGTTGAACTTGGGGCATTCTGGGAAATCTTGGACATCCAGGCTAGAGAGGGAACCTCTGAGGCTGGAAGTTTCAGATGGAGGTTTTGGAGGAGGCATTGGAGGAGGTTTGAGGGAGGCAAGGTCCAAATCTGCACTGTAATTGGAACTGGTAAGTGATGGCGGTTTTGGGGGTGCCATTGGAGGGGGATGCAGGCTTGCACGATCTAAAGAAGGGTCCATTTCGCCAAAGAACTGTGGTGGGGGAGGGATGAATGATGGAGGAGGTGGGGCTGAATATGATGGAGGGGGTGGAGGAGCGGAGCTAGGCGGAGGAGGTATAAGTATTTCCCCCTCGAGTAGGTCAGGGACAGAAAGCATCCTTCCATTTGAGAGGTTTGTAGTACTTCCTACAAAAAGACAATGTGAAAATCAACCACAGGTTCATTAAAACACCTCAGCATGTTGAAAACAGTGTTGGGGAAAGTTACTTTTAAAAGTAATCGTTACTTATTTGAAAAAGTAACTCAGATAGTCTTGTAAATTAAAAAGTAATGCGTTACTTTACTAGTTACTTGAAAAAAGTAATCTGATTACGTAACTTGCATTACTTGTAATATATTACCCCCAGCACTGGTTGAAAACATGATTTACTTGCTCCCATATTTAAGTTCTAGTGTTCCCTGATCAAAGACAAGAAGTTAACTATTCCTGGTCATCATGTTTGTTGAGTTCTGTGTTGTGAACTCACCTGTACCGTTTATCTTGGGCTCGTTGAAGGGCGGAAGAACCGGTACCTTGGGAGTTGGAACTGCAAAGCCTTGCGCACTCTCAGACGACTGGGATTTAAAGAGAAGCACACATCTTGATTAAAGGAGACTGTTAGAAGGTAAGGGAGTCTACAGAAATAGCACACCTTTTATTGTAGGAGCCACTGAGTCAGAGTTTGAATTTCTAGGCACCAAACCAACCAGTTTCAGAGAGCTTATGACGTTCAAGGACATGGATCCCTTCTCTCGACTTAGGTCCTTCTTTCCTTCTCTTTATTTCTCTGAGACATGCTTAAACTGTTGAGAAACTGCATGACCCATCCTGACTTCATACTAACACGTGGGATGAATAGGGTGAGATAATGTTCCAGATGTGTTTCTGTAAATCAGGTGAGGCAGATTCTTGGACACTCCTCACCAACACCCCATAATGTAAATGATTGTTAATGAAACATTCAGGTTGCTACAACAGATGCACTGAATGTAATTTCTCTAAAAAATGGAGCATAACCTGTCTGATAAAAGTCTAATTCAGAAATACTTTGATAATCTTCGCTTATAGACAACTTCAGTTGGATTACTATAAAATTACTTGACTTTCATTCCTGTTCTTTCAGTTCACTGACATGCAAAAAGGGACACACCCCTTAAACGTGTGTTTGTGTTTCAGGTTTTGCTGTCTTTATAGGATCATCTCTCCAGAAAAATAACACAACCTGACATAACCTTCAGGTGTGGATATCCTCACAAAGAAAAAAGACTCTACAGTGACATAACATCATACATAAACATTGTGAAAGTTGTGTTTTATGATTAGTGGTACAGTTAGTCTACATTTACATGTTTGCCAGATGCTTTTATCCAAAGCAACTTGCGTGAAAATGTGAGTGGTGTTTGCACGTGCAAAAGTCCCTGCTGTCGTTGCTTATTGGCCAAAAGAACCCATCTAGAGGGTTTTCACCCGTATTATCCTCCAGAAGGTGAACACTGAGCATCTGCAGGATCTTAACTCTAAACGTTCAATACTAACCCGGAGTATGAGCCATAATAATAGTAACACTTGCCTTAGCAAACACCAATACTTAGCTCAAACACGGGATGTGCGTACGTCTGCCTGATCTCTTCTGTACACAAACAAAACGTGTATTCAAAACAGCACCTGCAGGTTTGGATAACTCGGCTGGAACAAACCCGCATTTGTACGACATCTAACCTCAGCACGGAACAACCGGAGGAACACGTGAATCATCAGGATCCTGAACTCATGAGGTGAACGAGTGAATCGCTCGGGTCTGAACACGCTCAGACTGTCAATTACCGACACCCAACGTGAGCGTGTTTGCTGTGATGTAGGCATCACTAGGGTGATACAAACACAAAACTGCTGATGTGTGTGTGTGTTCCGTCAGAGTGAAAGTGTGTTTATATACTGAGGGTGTGTTTGTCCTGAAGCTAAAGGTGTGTCTTTAGCAATGTGTGTACTGGACGATTTCAGCACATTTCTCTCAAGACTTCTATTATCAATGAAAGAATTAAACGCAAAACGTACAGTGGTTGATGCAACAAAACGCATTCAGATTGTGTGTCCGTAATACGGAAAGTATATTTGATTACCATGTTATTTACATGGTACTTAAAAATACCATGGTATTACCATAGTACATTTCCAAAAAAGAGTGCATTACTACTATACATGTACAAAAACAACATAATACCATGGTACCATGCGCAAAAACAGTATTACCATGGCACATGTCAACAAAACATGGTAATACTATATTTTTTTAAGTGACCTCAACACTAAAAACTTCACAAAAAAGTACTGTGTTACGGTGATCATTTACAAAAGTGTACCATGGTTTTACCAAACACTGCTTTTTGGACATGTATCTTGGTTTTACCCTGTTTTTTTTATGTACTATGGCTTAAGTCTGTTTTTTTTTTAGACCATGGTTTTAACCAGTTTATTTGGACATTTGCTCTAGTAAAACCTTATTGAATTAAGTATTTTGGAAGTACCTTGGAGCCCATGGTAGTGAAAAGTGAAATTGGGTTACAAGTCCAACTCTCTAACCATTAGGCCACGACTTCCCCACTAGTATCATTACATGTCCAAAACAAAAGGCTTCAGACATTCGTCACACCGAAGGTGTTCCCAAAGCGATGACGTCGTCGCAGCATCTCGTTCCCCTACTCGGAACCAAGGTTACATACGTAACCGAGATGTTTTACCCTGTTTTTTTGGAAATGTACCATGGTTTTAGCCTGTATTTTTGGACATTTGCACTAGTAAAGCCATTACTGCATTGTATATGTACCAAGTAGCTTGGAGCCGATAGTGTTACCATAGTACATGTCCAAAAAAACATGGTAATGCTATGGTATACTTTTAGTAAGTGACCCAAAAAACTGTTTGAATACTATTTTCTATTTAATTCACTTTACTACTAACTAAGTTAGAAACCATCTCATAGGTGAAGTCTGGTCATGTGATCGGCGTGTTTTGGGACGTACCATGAAGTGTTTGACAGTCGGACGCGAGCGCACTTTGGCGGTTCCAGACTCCGGGATGGCAGCCGAGTCCAACACCAGCTCCACATTATCTGAAAAACAAAGACATTTTATTTACCTGGTTAAAATGGTAACTAGCAGCCTGTGTGGTGCAAAGTCAATGCTCAAGACCATGTGACCACCAGAACAGCAGAACAACAGGTTCATATGCATGGTAATGTCTTCATGACAGATCAAAGGTCAGTGTCTGGTTCGTCATATCACACATTCTTGAAAAGCCAAAAATAACATTTACTAAACACAAACTCCCATTATTTTTCAGATGAGATTCAATTATGAAGCATAAAATGAACACTGGAAGTTCACTACGCTTTGAAGTTTCTTATCTAATGTGATTGCATTCATTTTAGGGTCCAAAAAGGAGTCGGTGTGAGTCAGGTATATGATCCGTCAACAGTCTGATGATCTGTTTGGTTAACTGTGTTTGCTCATTAGCGACTTTAAACGTGTTAATGATGTAATTACCAGATTATTACTATGATTCTGCCGCCCTGACTGTCGTCAATCACTAAAAACAGGAAGTTTGACCTGCATTATGACAGCAGACGTCTGTGTTTTTAAAGTATCTGATCTTCCTTCACAAAAATAAGAATGCATGTGTATTTCATATGTTAGTTACGAAAATCCGTAATAGTACGGTACTTTTAATTATACTATTTGTACCAAAACTCATGTACCATGATATTTACATGACAACCAAAATACAATGATATTGTATAACATGTTATTACCATTGTTTTACATATCCACAACCATTGTAGTGCCATGGTAAATGTCCAAAAACATGGTACTACAGTGGTACATGTCCAAAATACAATGGTAGCACCATTTTTGTAGGCATAAAAACATGGTATCACTATTGACATATCCAAAACCACTGTATTTCCTTCACAAAAATAAGAATGCATGTGTATTTCATATGTTAGTTACGAAAATCCGTAATAGTACGGTACTTTTAATTATACTATTTGTACCAAAACTCATATACCATGATATTTACATGACAACCAAAATACAATGATATTGTATAACATGTTATTACCATTGTTTTACATATCCACAACCACTGTAGTGCCATGGTAAATGTCCAAAAACATGGTACTACAGTGGTACATGTCCAAAATACAATGGTAGCACCATTCATAAAAACATGGTATCACTATTGACATATCCAAAACCACTGTATTTTCAACGTACATGTCCAAAAACACGTGGTATACACCCAAAAACATGGTACTATCATGGTATACGTCCAAAGGAACATGGTATTACCATGATATACGTACAAAAACATGGTACTATCATGGTATACGTCCAAAGGAACATGGTATTACCATGATATACGTACAAAAACATTGTACTATCATGGTATACATCCAAAAACACGTGGTATACGCCTAAAAACATGGTACTATCATGGTATACGTCCAAAGAGAAACATGGTATTACCATGATATACGTCCAAAAACATGGTACTATCATGGTATATGTCCAAAAACATGGTACTATCATGGTATACGTCCAAAGAGGAACATGGTATTACCATGATATACGTACAAAAACATGGTACTACCGTGGTATACATCCAAAAACGTGGTATATGTCCAAAGGAACATGGTATTACCATGATATACATACTAAAACATGGTACTATCATGGTATACGTCCAAATAACACAGTCGTAGTTTTCTGTCAATGTAACCGGACACGTCACGGACCTCCGGATCAAAAACAGAGATATTTGTTTACGGTTTTTCTGTCATAAAACAAATAAGTTTTTGCTCCTAACCTGATTTTAAAAACAAACTAATCCAGAGTCTGTTGTGAAGGTTGTTCGTGTCCTGAAGAAAGTGTTGATGCGTATATGTCCAAAAACATGGTACTATCATGGTATACGTCCAAAGAGGAACATGGTATTACCATGATATACATACTAAAACATGGTACTATCATGGTATACGTCCAAATAACACAGTCGTAGTTTTCTGTCAGTGTAACCGGACACGTCACGGACCTCAGGATCAAAAACAGAGATATTTGTTTACGGTTTCTCTGTCATAAAATAAATATGTTTTTGCTCCTAACCTGATTTTAAAAACAAACTAATCCAGAGTCTGTTGTGAAGGTTATTCGTGTCCTGAAGAAAGTGTTGATGCGTGACGCGCACGCTCCGTGACAGGTGCAAAGGTCGCGCGACGAACACATTAAACTTACTGATATCAGATCTATTTAAACTCTACATCAGAGTGAATCTCTCTTACCCATGTCCCTGATTTCCACATTGGTGTCGAATAGAGATTGATTCTTCCGACCCAGGAAATTAAACGATCCTTTCTTCATGGTTGTAACGAAAGTGATTTCATCTGCAGAGATTGAAATCAGCGTGATTTCATGATTTCAGTGTTTCAGCAGCAGCTGACTGTGAGCTCGAGTCCGACACTGATTCAGAGAAACACTGAGGAGAAAATGGCCCCGCACCTGAACCGGCCCGTGGCCCCGCCCACTCAGACAGGTGAACACACACACACACACACACACACACACACTCTCTCTCTCTCTCTCTCTCACACACACACTCACTCACACACACACACACACACACACACACACACTCTCACTCACACACACACACACACACTCTCTCTCTCTCTCTCTCTCACACACACACTCACTCACACACACACACACACACACACACACACACTCTCACTCACACACACACACACACACTCTCTCTCTCTCTCTCTCTCACACACACACTCACTCACACACACACACACACACACACACACACACTCTCACTCACACACACACACACACACTCTCTCTCTCTCTCTCTCTCACACACACACTCACTCACACACACACACACACACACACACACACACTCTCACTCACACACACACACACACACTCTCTCTCTCTCTCTCTCTCACACACACACTCACTCACACACACACACACACACACACACACACACTCTCACTCACACACACACACACACACTCTCTCTCTCTCTCTCTCTCACACACACACTCACTCACACACACACACACACACACACACACACACTCTCACTCACACACACACACACACACTCTCTCTCTCTCTCTCTCTCACACACACACTCACTCACACACACACACACACACACACACACACACACACACAGAGGCACTGTGACTCATTCTGCTCTCTATTAAGAAGAATGAAACCCAAATATTTGCTGTCATGGTGAACTTGAGTCTCATTCAGGAATCATGGGCAATATTTACTGTGCTAATGTTTGTATAAATCTTAACAGGAATTAATAAACTGTGATTTAAAGAGTCTTGCAAAGGACTTTTTAAGCATGACATATATTATGAATTTCATGTATAATAATTTTAGTGATGTCATGTATATAGCACTAAATAGCAAATTTAATAATTAATAATAACTTATTTTATTTCAGGTTTATTTGTCAGGGACAATGCACATGTGCCAGGACCATAAAAATATAAAAGAAATAATCTATACATAATACATACATGCTCCAAACTACATATAAATTTACGCAATACCTAATAAAAATTCAGCATCCACTTAAAAATTACGCATAATAATAACTAATTTAATAATTTATAAAATACAATAGGTTTTTAGAGATAATATAATAATTTAAACTATCAATTATATAATTTATAAACATTAATTACACATTATTTGTTGAGTTATATATCATGTTAAGTATTGTATTATCAAAAGCGTTATAAATTATGCAAATTTGCATTTAGTGCTATATATAATAGATTATGAAGTTTTATATACTATACGTTTTGTTATAAAGTCTGATGTTTTTAATGGTTGATATAAGTTAGTTTTGGAAACATAATTAGTTTGGATAATAGCAGATATCTTTCGTTTTCTTGTATTTATATGACGTTTAATGATATCAAAAGTATATTTATTTTAAAATATGTGAAAATGCTGCTGGTGCACAGGAGAAATCAAGTAGCAATCTCTAAGAGTATTGTAGGTATCTGTATTAAATCATAAAGCATATTGTCTGGGAACAGTTATTGATCATGTTAATTGTGTCGTGCATTATTGATGGATTAAGTGTCCATTAAATGCATTTCAAATAACTTTATGGTGCTCAGAATCCTTGCACTCGACATGCTTAGAGACCCTGAGGAATAAAGTGAATCAGTGAATCATGAGGTAATAAATCCCAGCACAGTCGACAGAGAGTGAGAGGGGCGTATCCCATCATTCCCGGTCGGCATAGCAACAGAACTCAAACCTGTCCGTCCTGTTCCTCCAGGTTGCCATGGCGATCAGAGAATGTTCCAAATGCGTGGCACTTCCTGCGCTCAGCTGCTCGTGTTTCTCTGGAACGGTTCACACATGCTTCAGATGGTTTATGATCGATGAATCACTTCCTCTCCGCTCGTCCAACATCATCAGTTTCATCAAAACACACTCCAGATGCTTTATTAAAGGGACAGTTCACCCAAAAATAAACATTCTGTCATCATTTATTCAGCCTCTAGTTTCTGTTGAACACAAAAGAAGATATTTTGAAGAATGCTGGGAACTGGTAGCCATTGACGTCCACAGTATTTGTTTTTTTTCCATGCTATGGAAGTCAATGGCTACCGTCAGCTATTTGGTCTGTAAATATATTCTGACAGGTTTGGAACAACTTGAGGGTGAGATTTTTGGGTGAACTATTACACTATTTCTAATCACATGGTGTATAGAATTGATTTTAAGATAAAAAATTAGACGACAAAGAATTAACTTGACGGAGCTCAAACTCAAAACACACGGCAGCAAGTCAAATGCAAACTCAGAATATGACCCATGGATATTCTGCATTGTGTCATGCATAATATATAACTCAACAAACCTTTGCAATTTAAACGTCATAAACATTATATCATTTATATAGCACTAAATAGCAAAATTAATAATAATAATATATAAATAAATAATCAAAAACAATATATTTTATAGATAATATAATCATTTACACTATTATATTCTCCAGCGTCTCCTCGTCCCTCGTGTGTGTGTGCAACGTGACAAAAACGTTATATCATTTATTTATATTTATTTGATTTATTTTAAACATGAATTCATTAAATTTCTATTATATATTAAATTAAATTACTTTGGTACATATAGTAATGTAGATAATATAGATGAAATGTAATGTAACTTTCAGAAATTACATTATATCAATTATACACAAATATTATAATTTATAATTTATTTAATATGTAATATTTTATAAAACTTGTTTATATATATATATAAACATTTTCCACCACGGCAACATTTGCTCCAAATAAAGATTAATTAAAAATAAATACAGGTAAACATCTCTTATAAGCAATATTTTTTTTATTCTAATCAAGCTGTAATTTTGTCAAAAAGTAAGCAAAAAAGTGTGAAAATATGATTTAATTATGTGTATTTAGGATGCATATGAATGTATCCCTAGAAAGATGAAAAAATCTGCTTTTCACCCCCAAAAAAAATATTTACATTTAAAAAACGTAAATATAAATTATATAATTTCCATCAGTTTTCAAATATCATTTGTGATGTTTCAGGAGAAATATGTTAGAATTCCCCTGTGCTGCATGTGCTGTATATACACCGTTGGACAACTAAGTGAACTAATTAAATATTCATATTTTCTGAATGTCTGCATTAAATGTGAAAAATATTAGTGTTAATTTGTTACCTGAGAACTCATGGAGATTCTAGAATGAATGTGTCGTCATGGTTACACCTCTGTGATGTCAGAGCAGACACTGGACTCAGATCAGACTCAGTCAGACACTGATGGACAGACAGAAGAGCACTGCTGCTGATTCGATGGAGATGCAGACGGGAACAGAAACCCAGTGGACTCGGGTAAGAACCTCATTTACAGTCTGTGTTTCTCATCTTGGTTTGAGTTAGTAACTCCTCATGTGTTCATACATTGACCAGGCTTTGGTGGAGATGCGACACTCGGTCAGATCTCCAGAGTCGCCTCCTAACGCTCCTCCTGAGTGTCTCCAGACGCCTCCGGACACCAGCGGAAACTCCCTGAGACCCTTCTACACGGCTCAGAAACCCGCGTGTGGCTTCGGCTTCTCCTGGCACACGGACCACAGACGCAAACGCAACGACCTGCAGACCTGCAACCAGATGAAGTGGAGGAGCCAGCGTGTGTACAAACCACAATAAACCTGCACTCACCTACCGCACACTATCTGTGTCGCTTCACTCAGATTTATATGATTATTTATATTTGATATAGTTTTCATTATAACATTAAAACAAACATCAACAACAACAACAAAAATCATTAGATTATGTTCTGTAAACATTTTTATAAGGTTGTTACACAAAAACTTCCCTGCAAGGTTTGGAGAACATAATGGTTGCAAAACCAACTTTCCCCCCAGAATGTTAGGAATTGTTTGGAATTATATATTTAATTATTTGGAATTGGTTCACAAATAATAACCAAATGGGAACCATGTGCTAATGATAGATAGATAGATAGATAGATAGATAGACAG